CTTCTTCAGGAACTTGATTTAAATTCATATGTTATATAATAATACAGACTTTTCCACAGACTCAGATCATTTCTCCAATGTCGTCAGCTGAACAGAAATGACGTCATATAATTTCAGCAAAAATAATAATTAATAATTTTAGAAATATAGTCAAATGAAATGTGTCTCAGCACAAACCAAATACAAAAGTTTGGTGTAATTTTCTGTCTGTTTTGAGGCTGTTTAACATTTTGAGAAGCTGGACGACGTCATCAGCCCAAAATAAAACAGTTCACATCTTAAGAACCAGAATCACAAATGAAGCACAAACAATTGACTCACTTGTGTCGTTTTAGAGCATTTTGAAGTTTTCTGGAGGCTCCTGACTCCAGTTTGACCTGTAAAAGAATCATTAATATCTCCAAATCTAAAACAGCACAAATGAAACTTTGTGCAGCACAAACGACTGACACAGTTTTTGTGTAGGTTTGTGTTTGATGGGGTCAAATTCTTACAGGTTTAAAAAGCTGTTTTGAAGACAACTGAAGGATTTTGAGCTGATAAACAGTTTATGATCTGAAAATTGGTCAAAATCACCACAAAATCCACACTTTTTGAAAGCTGTAGGCGCCTTGTCTCCTGAACACGAGCGGTTTGTGATCACATTGAGCTGTACTGTGCTCTGTTTCAGGTCGGTCAGAACGGTGCCGGTTCCTGCACCAGTTCCACTGGGAACCACAGTGGAACTGAACCCATGACGCGACAGAGGGTGTGGATTTACCACCAACATAAAAAATAAATACAAACAACCAAAAAGACAAACAAAAACGGACGTCACAGGAGGAAAATAATCATCATGGAACACGTCATCAACACCAGCGAGTATTGTATTTATACAAGTTAATATTTATGTGTCGAGTTCTGCTACAACATGGATCTGCTGAGGACAAGACGACGACGACGACGACGACACAAAGATGTAAAATGATCAGGAGAACAGGGACACAACACAGGACACACGGACACAGGGACACAGGGACACACAGGGACACAGGGACACAGGGACACAGGGACACAGGGACACAGGGACACAGGGACACACGGACACAGGGACACAGGGACACAGGACACAGGGACACACGGACACAGGGACACAGGGACACACGGACACAGGGACACAGGGACACAGGGACACAGGGACACACGGACACAGGGACACACGGACACACGGACACAGGGACACGGACACAGGGACACGGGACACAGGGACACACACGGACACAGGGACACACAGGGACACAGGGACACACGGACACAGGGACACAGGGACACAGGGACACAACAGGGACACAGGGACACACGGGAACACACAGGACACAGGACACACGGACACAGGACACGGGACACAGGGACACACGGACACAGGGAACAGGGACACAGGGACACAGGGACACAGACACGGACACAGGGACACAGGGACAGGGACACAGGGACACACGGACACACGGACACACGGACACAGGGACACACGGACACAGGGACACAGGGACACAGGGACACAGGGACACAGGGACACACGGACACAGGGACACAGGGACACACGGACACACGGAACAGGGACACAGGGACACAGGGACACAGGGACAGGGACACACGGACACAGGACACAGGGACACAGGGACACAGGACACAGGACACAGGACACAGGACAACGGAACACAGGGACACACAGGGACACAGGGACACGGACACACACAGGGACACAGGGACACGGGCACAGGGACACAGACACACAGGGACACGGACACAGGACACAGGGACAGGGACACAGGGACACAGGGACACAGGGGACACACGGACACACGGGGACACAGGGACACAGGGACACAGGGACACAGGGACACAGGACACACAGGACACAGGGACACAGGGACACAGGGACACGGACACAGGACACAGGGAACACAGGGACACAGGGACACACGGACACAGGACACAGGGACACAGGGACACAGGGACACAGGGACACAGGGACACACGGACACAGGGACACACGGACACAGGGACACAGGGACACGGACACAGGGACACAGGGGACACAGGGACACAGGGGGACACAGGGACACACAACGGACACAGGGACACAGGGACAACAGGGACACAAGGACACACGGACACACGGACACACGGACACAGGGACACAGGGACACAGGGACACACGGACACAGGGACACACGGACACACGGACACAGGGACACAGGGACACAGGGACACAGGGACACACGGACACAGGGACACAGGACACACGGACACAGGGACACAGGGACACAGGGACACAGGGACACACGGACACAGGGACACAGGGACACACGGACACAGGGACACAGGGACACAGGGACACACGGACACAGGGACACAGGGACACACGGACACACGGACACAGACACAGGACACAGGGACACACGGACACAGGACACAGGGACACAGGGAACAGGACACGGACACAGGGACACAGGGACACGGACGGACACAGGGACACAGGGACACGGGACACAGGACACACGGACACAGGGACACAGGGACACAGGGACACACGGACACACGGACACAGGGACACACGGACACAGGGACACACGGAACACAGGAACAGGACACAGGGACACAGGGACACACAACACGGACACGGGACACAGGACACAGGGACACAGGGACACAGGGACACAGGGACACAGGGACACAGGGACACACGGACACAGGGACACACGGACACACGGACACAGGGACACAGGGACACAGGGACACAGGGACACACGGACACACGGACACAGGGACACAGGGACACAGGGACACACGGACACACGGACACAGGGACACAGGGACACACGGACACAGGGACACAGGGACACAGGGACACACACGGACACAGGGACACACGGACACAGGACACACGGACACAGGGACACACAGGGACACACGGACACAGACACAGGACAGGACACACGGACACGGACACACGGACACAGGGACACAGGGACACAGGGACACACGGACACAGGGACACAGGGACACAGGGACACACGGACACACGGACACACGGACACAGGGACACACGGACACAGGGACACACACAGGGACACAGGGACACAGGGACACAGGGACACACGGACACACGGACACAGGGACACAGGGACACAGGGACACACGGACACACGGACACAGGGACACAGGGACACGGGGACACAGGGACACAGGGACACAGGGACACAGGGACACAGGGACACACGGACACACACAGGGACACAGGGACACAGGGACACACGGACACAGGGACACAGGGACACACGGACACACGGACACAGGGACACAGGGACACAGGGACACACGGACACAGGGACACAGGGACACAGGGACACAGGGACACAGGGACACACGGACACACGGACACAGGGACACAGGGACACACACGGACACAGACACACGGACACAAGGACGACACAGGGACACAGGGACACAAGACACAGGGACACACGGACACACGGACACGGAACAGGGACACAGGGACACACGGACACACGGACACAGGACACAGGACACACGGACACACGGACACACGGACACAGGGACACAGGGACACACGGACACACGGACACACGGACACAGGGACACAGGGACACACGGACACAGGGACACAGGGACACACGGACACGGACACAGGGACACAGGGACACACGGACACAGGGACACAGGGACACACGGACACACGGACACACGGACACACGGACACAGGACACAGGACACACGGACACAGGGACACAGGACACGGGACACGGGACACAGGACACACAGGACACACGGACACAGGGACACAGGGACACAGGGACACGGACACAGGGACACAGGGACACACGGACACACGGACGACACAGGGACACACGGACACACGGGGACACACGGACACACACGGACACACGGGACACACGGACAACACGGACACGGACACAGGGACACACGGACACAGGGACACAGGGACAACGGACACACGGACACAGGGACACAGGGACACGACACAGGGACACACAGGGACACACGGACACAGGGACACACACACGGCACACGGACACAGGACACAGGGACACACACGGACACAGGGACACAACGGACACACGGACACAGGGACACAGGGACACAGGACACCAGGGACACAGGGACACAGGGACCACGGACACAGACAACACAGGACACAGGGACACACGGACACAGGACACAGGGACACAGGGACACAGGGACACAGGGACACACGGACACACGGGCAACAGACACAGGGCACACGGACACACGGACACAGGGACACAGGGACACAGGGACACAGGGAAACTAAATCTAAACTAGATCTAAACCAGGTCTAAAACAGGATTTAACTTTTTTTTTTTTTCTTTTATCAGACAAAACTTCTTATGTGAAGATTTCCTGGTCTTTGTTTCTCTACAGAAAATCACGTAATCCAAAGTAATCAGATTACATTACTCACTTTAAGTAACTTAATGGATTCCGTTACAAACTACATTTTGGGGTGTGTAATCTGTAATCTGTAGGGGATTACATTTGAAAAGTAAACTTCCCGACACTGTTTGTTTGTTTTCCCGCGTGTGACCCGGATGAACCTGACGTCTTCTGTGTCGTCACGATTCATTTAGAAAAAACAAGTTTTCCTTGGTTCACGTTGGGATTGAACTTTTCGGTTCCTGAAAGCTCTGGTTTCCGGCGTGAACACGTGAGTTGATTCCCGGTTCGGTGCGGGAAACCGGCTCCGGCGCAGTTTTCTGTCTCCCTGAAAACGTCTTCTGAGAAAATCCTTTCTGCTCCGGACAGATGTTTTTCTCTGTAAAACCAGCGAGTGACCAGACACCAACTTAAGACAAACACAAACACGACTCTCTCCTCTTGTTTAAACAGATCCTGGTGTAAAGTGTGAACATAAACTCTTCTTCTTCTTCTTCTTCTTCTGGTTCTGTGTGTTTTAC